TTTCAATTACTACATCACTACATTTATTTAGTGTGTGAAAAAACAAAATACTGTTATACCATCACATCTTTTTCTCATATTAAAGCATCTCAACTAAATGTGTTGAACTTCCTTTCACACTGGCAGACAGAGCAGTTTCACTGCTCCAGCACACTAAACATCCAAACAGGCTGTATCTGGCCCCACGATGTAAAATGAATTTAAGTTACCTGGTTTAAGAATTAACCCAGATGATGCTGAGGGTGTTATGGACTTCTGAAGCAGTTTTTATGGCAATCCCAACTGTGAAGACAGTTCACTGCTGACAATAAATGTTTACTTGTCATATCACTCTGTATACAGCTGACGCACGATGTAATCAGTTTTCCTCACCGGTTGTAGAGTTAACTGTGTCGTAGATTTCCTTTTAAAGGGATGAAGATGCCATTTTTGACCATTTTGTTTGCCTTAGTTATCACTGAGATGTGTCTAAAATCAGAGTGTATATTAACGTAACTGTGTGATTCAAAAGGCAGGAATAGTATTACACCAAAAAAAGCTCTTATCATTCCTCATTTCCAACTATTATTTAGGGTTAGGGTTTGGTTGTGTTTTAGCTGCATGAAAAACAAACACATTTTCAGAAACTAGAAGCAGATTTGCAAAGAATCTCATTTACTGTCCATGTATCTCTAAACTTTTGCTGCAACTAATCTAAACTAATTCAAACATTTGATAAATTTGGAGGATAAAACTTTATTTGAAATAATTTTTTATCTGTTGTGAATCTTCTTCACCTGATCTTTTTTGGGCCATGTCCTACATTTTTCTGAAGCAGAATCAAAACAAAACAAAACAAGATGTTCACTTTTGTTTTTGGAGAGCAACCATCAATCTCTGGGTCTAAGCTTATAGTGTGCTGTTTCCTGGGCTGCTCTCTCTGGAGACTGTCGCCAAAGAGAGAAAGGTTGATACAATTAATTCACCTCAGACCCTCATCGCCACCTTTGTTTATTTGTCCTTTCTCAGCGTTCTCACCTTACATCCATCCCTCCAACCCCCCTCCCTTCTCTCAGCCTCTCTCTCTCTCTCTCTCTATCGCTCCCCTCTTCTACTGACCACCTGTTTTCCTTTTCCCCACTGCTACCTGACGCAGAGAGGACCAGCCCACCCACCCCCCAACCCACTCCTCCTGGTCCCGCAGGTAAACCAGAGACGCCCAAGGCACACCCTGGCCAGGAAAGACCCAGGATCGCCTTACGGCCTAGCTGAAAAGTGCTCTTTCTAAGTAAGTACATCGCGGCCCCACTTTGAACAAAGAGCCAGGGGAGTCAAGGGACCAGACCCTCTTTCAGGGCTTTGTCTCTCTGCCTGCTCTGAGCTCAGAGTCAGACACTGACTTGGACTGAACTCAAGAATTCAGATTGGAGAAAAAAAAATCACAAACATGCAGATGAGAAAGTTTAAAGAACTAAGAAAGAGTCTTTAGAGGCCAGGAATTAATTTTACATTTTAATTAATCTGGACATCAGATTCGAAATTCAGGTTTTTAAATACGAAGATTTTAATGGTTGTTTAACAGCTACTGAAACAAATGAAGGATAAATAAAAATTGGAAAATGACAGCACATCACTGAAGAGGAAGCTTTACTAAGGCAGCTATTTCTGTCCTAATGTGGATAGCCAGACGTTCCCCACATATCAGTGCTTTTAACGAGCTTACAGCGCTAATCTAAGGTCCCACTGACAAACAAAACCCTGCAGAGGGAACCACTTAACACTAGAGGCAGGTAAAATGACCTGACCTGTGTGTGTGTGTGTGTGTG